AAAATAAAAAATAAAGGAACTACTGATAGTAACTGCCTCTCACTGATAGAATTGTAACTTTTTTCTGCTCCTGTAAACATCTCTGTGCTTTTTAGTATACTAAACTACAAGGGTAGTGACTTGATAATCTAAAAGAAATTAATACAAAAAGAAATATTAATATCTCAATGGGTAAGTGTAACAACAAAAAATAGGTTCTATTTCAAGTAATAGTAAACTGATACAAAAACTTCCCAATGAGAAAAACTGGAAAAAGATTGGGCAGAGGGATGACTAAATGGCATCAGGCCAACTAAACAGGCAGTTAAGAATCAGTGGGCCAAGATCCAAGAGAAGGATATCCAGAGAAGTGAGTCAGATATGTAGGGCAGCTTTTTCCTTAGGGGCATCTAGAAGAGGTAAATGGAATCTAAAAACAAAACAAAACATAATGAACAAACAGCAACAGACTCACAGACACAACAAAGTGACTAGTGGTTACCATGGAGAAGAGGTTAGGGTGGATAAGTGAAATAGGTGAAGGGGATAAAGAGGCACAAAATCTCAATCATATAATATAAATTAGTCATGGGGATGGAAGTACAGCATAGAGAATAAAGTCAATAGTTATATAACATCTTTTTATGTTCACAGATAATAACTACACTAGTTGGGGTGAGGATTTAATAATGTATTTATCTCTTGCATCACTATGTTGTACATTTGAAACCAATATATATTGTATATCAACTATACTTGAATTAAAAAAGAGTAAATGAAAAAGAAATAATAACATATCCATCTTGTTAAAAACAAGTGGAGGAAAGCACAACAAATTTGAAAAAAATTTACAAATTCTGTATCTGAAATATACAATAACAAAATTAGTATCTCAATGTATGGGGTTTAACAGCAGATTTGATACAGTGTAATGAGAAGTGTAAACCGGAAGAAAGGTAAGAATCTATCCAGAAAACCAAAAGAACAGAAAACAGAGAAGAGAAATAACAGTCAAAGGACAAAGCAAAAGAGGTCTAACACATGTGTAAAGAGAGAAAGAAAGAAAGAATGAGTCAGAAGAAATATTTGAGGGATAATGACGGGGAATTTTCCAAAACAAACAAAAGATATCAAGTCAGAGATCTAAGTAGCCCAACAAACTCTAAAAGAACAAATAAAAAGACACCTATACCTAGTCACATCATAGAAAATCTGCTGAAAAATCAGGAAAAAAATCTGAAAAGCAGCTAAACCCTTACCACCATCAAATGTTACCTTCAAAGGAGCAATAATTACACTAATAGCTAATATCTCAACAGTAAACAATGGAATGATCTTCAAAGAATTTTTTTTTAATCTAGTAAAATGCAAAACTCTAAAACTCCTAGAAGATAACAAAGGAGAACACCTAGATGAGCTTGAGTATGGTGATGCCTTTTTAGCTACAACACAAAAGACATGATCTATGAAAAAAATCATTAATAAGCTGGACTTCATTAAAATTAAAAATTTCTGCTTTGTGAAAGACAATGTCAAGAAAATGCAAAGACAAGCCACAGACTGAGAAACTATTTGCAAAAGGCATATCTAAGAAAGGACTGTTATTCCAAATATGCAAAGAACTCTTAAAACTCAACAATAAGAAAACAAACAACCTAACTTAAAAAAGGATTCAAGATATTGACATCACATCATATATATACAGATGGCAAATACACATATGAAAAGATGCTCCACATTATATATCACAGGGAAATGTAAATTAAAACAGGATACACTACATACCTATTTAGAATGGCCAAATTCTGGAACACTAATAAAGCCAATTACTTGCAAGGATGTGGAGCATGAGGAATTCTCATTCATTGCTGGTGGAAATGCAAAATGATATATATATAGCCCTTTGGAAGACAGTTTCATAATTTCTTACAAAACTAAACATACTTTTACCCTACAATCCAGCAATCACATTCCTTGGTATCTACCCAAAGGTGCTGAAAACATGTCTACACAAAAACGTTCAGATGTTTATAGCAGTGTTATTCGTAATTACCAAAGCTGAAATTGCCAAGATGTTCTTTAGCAGGTAAATGGTTAAATAAACTGCGGTATATCCAGACAATGGGATATTATTCAACAGTAAAAAGAAATGAGCTATCAAGCTGTGAAGACATGGAGGAATCTTAAATGCATATTACTAAGTGAAAGAAGCCAATTTGAAAAGGCTAATCATATTGTATGATCACAACTATATATGACATTCTGGAGAAGGCAAAAATATGGAGACAATAATAAAACAGAGCACAAAGTGTTCTTCAGTCAGTGAAAATACTCCGCATTATAATATAAAGATATATGTCACTATACATTTATCCACCCCAAAGAATGTACAACACCAAGAGTGAACCCCAAGGTAAATTATGACTTTGAGTGATTCCGATTTATCAATGTTAAGTTCATTCTTGGTAAAAAATTTCCATTCTGGTGAATGATGCTGATAATGGAGGAGGCTATACACATGAGGGGCAGGTTTGGGAAATCTCTGCACCTTCCTCTCAATTTTGTTATAACCTAAAACTGCTCAAAACAACAAAACCAGACTTAAAAAAAAATCTATCAATTGTAATTTTACACCCAGCAAAAATATAATGAAAGTAAAACCAGTAATGAAACAATGGATCTAGGGGATGACCATCAATGGTTACTACCATCACAAAATAGATATAACCAGATATTATAAGCCTCAAATGGAAATACATAGCACCATCTAAGAAGTATTCTTGTCAAAATACTGAACTGAATTTGACCACGCTGCTAGATTTAAATGACTTATAGGTAATATAGACAAATGCTGAATAAAACTATGGATATGCAATTAGCACATTCCAGAATGTGTGACCATCTACAGAAAAATAATCTGACTTCTTCAACAAAAACAAAAGTTAAGGAGGGGATAGAGTATCTACAGATAATGAGACTCAAAAACACATCAACTAAACATAGTGTATAAATCTTGCTGGGATCCTGACTGGAGAATATCAACCACATGCACTGTGTCTCTGGGTGACAAACAAGGAAAACTGTGCAATGACTGGATTATTTGTTGATATTAAGGAACCAATCCTGTATTTTTAGATAACATACTATGGTTATTGTTTTTTAAAAAGCCCTTATCTTCTATGACATGCTT